ACATTCACAGCTATGCAGCATATTTTCATTTGAATGTATGCGAACCGCTGCTGTTGCTGCTGCTAAGCAAAAAATTAAAAGCTTTCGGCTTTGTGTGCGTTTTTCATACATATGTGTGTCTCTATCTCTCTTCCTCTCTCGTGGTGTGTACGTTTGCATGTTTGTGTGCGTTTGTTTAGTTTCTCGTTTACTGTACATTTATTAAATTACCTATTTATAATTTGTTTATTATTTAGCGAAATGCCAGTGAATAATGTTTAAATATAGTTGGCGACCAAAAATCAAATCAAATTGAATGAAATGGAATGGAACGGAACTGGAAACCTTACCTCCATAATATAAACAACATATTTCTGTTTCTTTTAGCTTAGTTTTTCTTATTTCTTATTTGTTTTAGTTAATACACCAACACACACAAACATACCTACATACACACTGTGACTATGTGACGTTATGCGCTGCGCTATGCTCATTTAATTTTCTGTGATATTATTAGATATGCGCTATCTTATCTAAATAGCATACAGTTATGTCTCTCTGCATGCTTATGCGTGTGTGTGTGTGTGTTTGTGTTTGTGTTTGTATGCCTGCCTTACTATCCAAGGCCCCAGCGCACTATAGAAACAACAGAAAAAGAGCCAATGTTGGCTTATATAATCGGCTATAATACATATGTGCATAGAGTGTACAACGTTTATAAGGTGCGGGAGCCCTTCACTTTGCTAACTGTGCAGCGAGTGTGCCCATGATTTAGACGCAAACGTAAAATGCCATCGCACTTATACTTATATAGATTATGTGCACAATCTGTGTGGAATGCGGCTGGGGTAGCGGGTGCCGGAGCGAAAGAGGGAGAGGGAGAGGTAACGAAACGCTCTACACACCTGCCACGTAAATTTTGTAAGCTCTCCCAATATTCAGAGCATAAATATCGTTTCTTTTGTATGCTCGTTTCTCCGCTGCTGCGTCCGACGACTTCACATGCTGCGGCTCACGGCTTCTGTGGCTCTGTGCAGTTTATTCACTTTGCACCTCACTCTATATTACACCTTCTTTTATTACTATTATTACTTTTTTCTTTGCTTGCGCGCTTTTATTTTTCGGACTCGCGTCACTGCACTTTCTATACTTTGTGTAGTTGCTAGATTACATTTAGTTACGTTTCTTTATATTTCGTTTGCTGTAGTAGATCTTAGAGCATCGCTCTGCTGCCTCACATCACATCACAACGCACGCTGACACCGACTGGTCCAAAATTCTTGTGCTCGTGCCCCTTTTGGCTATCACTCGGTAACTAAACCGTTCAAGTTTGCGACATACAATTTTAAGCTCGTCGAGCTGCCCGTCCTCTGCTCGACGCTCGACGTTCGACTTTCGTTGTTCGACGCTCGACGTGACGATCGCGTGGCGGCAGCGCACAGTGGTTGCGCCCCTAGCTCTGAGCGCACAAAAATTGCTGTCAAGCTTTTTGCATAGGTCAACGGCAGCGAGCTGCTTGCTGCGCCGCAGACGACGCAGGGCAGAGTAGAAAACAATAATAACATAGCTTGGTCAAACATCAGCTGATCGCCCACTGTGAGCCGGTTTTTGCGCTCTCCTCCACTCATCCACTCCCCCACTCGTTCGCTCTTTCACTCGTTCGCTCCCATTATAAGTGGTCAGTGCCGGCTAACCGGCTACTAGCCGGCAACCTGTGCCCTCACTCTCTCGTGCTCACGTTCGTACTTACTCTCTCTCTCTCGCCCGTTACGCTCTTCAGCTGAAAGCTCTCGTGAGCTTCGGATAAACAAAACATTGCATGCATAATTAAGTGTGGACGTTTGTATACACATACATACATATGTACACATGTATTTATGTGTTTCTGTATGTAGCTGTGCCTTTGTGTTTGTAGGCAATTCTTTTTGGCAAACTCTTAACATGCGTCGCAAACAATTTTCGAGCACGCCATAAATTTTCACACACAACACTCAAAAATGGTGCCGCTAAGGAATTTTTTGGTGTGCGTTGAGTGGTGGTGCATCACACGCACTCGTCACGTGCATTCACTTCATTTCATTTCATTCCATTTCCATTCGAATTCCACGACCGATCGATCAATTACACTCATATATACATGCATATTAAAAGATCGTTGCCTTCATTGCCGATTTCCAGGCCAAGGCGTGTGTGAAATGCAAATGCAAAATGCAAAAATACAAATGCTGCATATCACGCCAACAACAACAACAACAACAACACCAACACCCTCGCCCTGCCGGATTACTGTACCGAAGAATTACAATCGAATATGCATATTTTAATGTTTTCCTTGGCATTTGCCACAAGTGCCTGCAGAGCGCGTTCAGGTGACTAATTGAGCAGATCAAATCGCCCACAATGACTAATCGTTAGGTGTTGTCATGGCGCAAAAATAAAGCTAGTTACAAATCCGATATGACCATATGAAGATGTTCTCAACTGTGAGGAACTGCGGCTTGATTAAGATAGATGATGTGCGTTTAGCGAGTAATGCAACTAAATAGTGAATAGAGATTTGCGTTAAATGAAGATTAACTAGAATAATTCAAATATTGAATTGAAACTTAGAGCAGATTAGTTAATTCAATTGATGCCATCTCGAAGATGAAAGACAGATGCACATCATCTCAAAGTAGAAGGATTCCTAATCTCCCATTTCCTTCCTTTTCTTAGCCTGTTGCCCCACTTGATTGATTAGCTATGCTTCATTCATAATTGATACTTAATATGCCTGCCAATAAATAGTTCTCTGCGCAATAATAATAATAATAATAATGATAATATTAATGATTGAGCTATTGAAGGCATTAGTTATTGTTAATGCTCGACGATTTTGTCAAGTTTCGTTATGGTTATTGTTGAGTTGTTATGATCTGATAATGGCGCTCAGTTGTATTGTTGCGTAGCTCTGGTGTGACGCGCCCCTCCCCCTGCTGCGCTCTATTTCGACTACAATTGCCATTATATCCATAGTTTATTTCATTGTGCATTTGGCTTAACAATTTTCATGGTCAGTTGCCTCCGGTGCGACATAAACTGCCACAGATAACAGCAAAAAGGCAGCTAAATCCGTATAATGAAATAAAAAGACATAGCCAAATAAAGCGACGACAAGACGACGTTGGCGAGAGGATGACGGGGTGACGGGGTGACGGGGCGAGACGACGACGACAGGGTGACAGCAAAGCCAAAATGAATAGCAACAACAACAACAACAACAACAACAACAACAACATCGATTTCACTTTAACGAGCTTGTAATGTCCCTAAGACGAGAGTAGTATATAAAAAGCGTTATGTATACGCCATGTGTGCCGCGCT